GGAGCCGTGACGAGAAAAAACTTGGGTGGGAGATACGCGTTATCGCGATGCTCTCCGGCGAGCACCTCACGGTGTATAAAGAAAAAGTCGCTGCAAGGGACAACTGTAAACCCATATATATATATACCCACAATATGTACACGGATCGGTCCCCCCGTATAAAACGGATTTGTTCGAATCGCCGTTTTCAATTACCTTCGGGTGCAGTGACTGCTACCTGCACGTAAGCAGACCTCCGGCAGACCTGTATATTATACTGCCGCTGTCTACGATGGATGGATGTATATATGTACAGCTGGGTATTATTGGTTTCGCGGAAATTGCCGGCGGCGCAATCAAATACATGTATAGATACCCAGCGCAGTAGCTTTTATGTAACAGTACCGATACAGTAGATACAGCCAAAGCCGGTCGGACGGACTGCTGGTTCCATCTGATACGTTGGTACATAGGGGAGGGAAAAATGCAGTTCCATTGGGGTAGGGACATGGGGGGGAGGGTCTCGATGCGTCCAGCCCTTTTCTCTGTACACATATGTGTGCGTGTGTGTGTGTATACACGTGGATAGAGGTGGATTTGGTGCGTGCGTGCTGCTGTGGCTATCATCACCCATGTGCTTGCACCGAAACAATGACGGATGCCTGCATCGCCGATTTTGACCACCTACAGCCAAAAAAAAAAGGGGGGGGGAATGGGTTTTACGAAAAAAAAGAAGAGAGGCTGTGTGCCATTTGCGAGCGATTGGCTCTTTTCGGACGCTGATTTCTCCCATCGGTTACGCGCCGCTCTATTTTATCGCCGTACGTGCCTTCGCCGGAAAAGGGAGCATCATCCCTCTCTTTCTCGATAGGCGTTTATTTTTTCATATCCCTCTCGCCCTTCTCCGCTGCTTTAGTCTGGTAGGTATGTATGTGCACGGGTGATGGCGCAGCGGTGAGGAAACTTTTGCCCTCTCGAGTTTTAAATTTACGCTACGTGACGAGTGGATTGTTATGTCGTTCGGTTCCTCTAGACGACTATGTGCTCGTTGTTGGTGCTTTTTTTTTTTTTTTTTTTTTTCTTTTCAACTCGAGTTGCCGAAAATTAAGGAACACTACACCTCTTGCCTTGTGCGCGCACGACTCGTCGGCGTGTTTTATGCGCACCAGTATCCGAGAGCACGACAAAAGAAAAAAGGCACAACTTTGTCCGCGGGAAATGTGTATGCAATAATTATATGTCTCGGGAATGACATTCGAGAGTACCTCTCGCTTTGTGCATTGTGACGAAATTTAATTAAGAAGTGAAGCATCGACCAATCGACGACGACGACAATAACCCTCGAATGCATTATCCTTGTTTTTTTTCCAACAATCTTAACTTTCTCTCGCTCTCCCGGATTATTTTCACGCAAAGCACTCGTTGTCGTCGTCGGCGCTCTGTTTCCCTCAGCTGCTGAAAATACATCCCCGCGGCCAACTTTTTCATCCTCTTGTTGTCAAAAATGATGTGCACTCTGGCTCTCCTCCTTTATTCTCTTTTCTCATTAAAACGCGGAAACGTTGCCGCTTTACCCCAATCGACTCGCGGCCGCGCAAATATTTATCACGACTTTTCGTCGGGGAGAAATAAAATTTCATCAGCCAAATCGAGGAGGGAAAAGGGGACGCTAAGCTTTAAAATATTACCGCGGAGTGCCTGTGTTTACCCTGGCCGCGATGAATTTTTATTATTTGCGTCGTCGCGAGAAGGGTTTTAGGGAAACAAAAAGCTTACAGGAGCAGGAAAGAAATATCCGCCCGACCCATGGGAGGAAGGGGGCTCGGGTCGTCTGGCTGCCGTATAGGCAAAGAGGATGCATCTCGTTAAATTTAATCCGTCCTGTTGGCCGCTTTATCTGCAGGCGCAGTTCGCTGCCGGGGCTTCGCGGTCGGTCTTGCGGCGTCTTTGTACTGCTCCGAGTAGAGGAGAGCTCGCGCACAGACAGCTGCCGCCGCGGAGAAGCAAATAGTCGGGGGGGAGAGAGAGCCGAAAGAGCTTTGCGCGTCTCTTTCTTGGTCCTCGGCGATTGCTTATGGGCAAAGGAGACTCTCGCGGCTCGGCGATTTTCCGGGAGCGCGTAAAGATCGCCGGAAGCGCAAGGGATTTCGCCGGTGAAAGTAAAAAGAGAGCCCTCCTTCTTTCTTCTTTGGCAAGACGGGGGCCAAAAAGGAAGCTCCTCTCGTGAAAGTCCTCCAAGTCCTTGTGGAAAGCCGCGTCGCCGATAGACAAAATGTATACCTTCTCGAGCCTCGTCTCGAACTTGAAGTGTCTCTCGCCAATGAATGGCGATGCAATCGTCGGAGGGAAATTTCGCCCCCTCCCTCCCTCCCTCACCCTCAGTCCGAAAAGGTGTAGCGCGCTACCTTTAACCGAGTGAAAGGGAGCAAGCAACGAGCTCTATACTGCAGGTGGGTGGCATAAAAGAGAGTAGGGGGGAGGGTCGTCCTATTTACCTGGCTCGCGTGTATACCCAAAGAAGGGGGGGGGACTCTGTAGCAGGTTAAAGGAATCGCACTTGTACCATCCGATCCGATCCGATGGAAGGGAATTTCGTTCGCCGGCGAGAATACGTGCATATCCTTCCGTTGCTGCTCCATTCAGCGGCGGAGCATAGCGGGAGAAATTCGCGGCTCTCTCTCTCTCTTTCTTCGCTCCTAAGCATCGGAGTGGCGATAAAAAGAGTACATGTATATATATATATATATACACGTCCATCTCATTCGTTCGTTCTTTCTTGCTATGTTTTTCCTTCTTTTTTGTTTATGGGGGCGCGCACGGCTTCCCTCTAACAAGGTGGAGGTGGAAAAGAAGGGAAATTCATTCAAAGCCGATTCATACGGCGAGACATGGGCCTCCTCTCCACCTCCCCCGGCATGATTATTTCGTCCTCATTAGAGATCTTCTTAATTACTCGCTTCGGCTTGCAACGGTACAGACGGGTCCCTGTCTCTCTACTTTTTTCCTTTCTTTCTCTTCATTTTTCGTAGCCACTACTGATACTGCCGCAAATAAAATTCCAGCGCCCTTCCACTTTTTTTTTTTTTTTTTTTTCATCGCGACGGATTTTTCCTCGTTACTCTAGGCTTTTTTTTCCCAACTTCTTACATTCGGGCTCCCTCGCTCCGATGTAATTTGTCCAGAGATATGAAAACGCCATCGTGTCACCTCGGCTTTTTCTCATTTTCCGTTAAGGTCCGTGAAATAGTCATGGTAAAGTCACCCTTTTTCATTCCACGCAAAGCATCCTTGATGCTCGGGATCAACGAGCGATAAATTCCCCGCAGTTATACCTACGACGTATTTTCCGCTTGGGCCTCATTAAGACGAAAGCGCCAGACGCACATCAAGTTATACTTACTTCGATGTGTAATATAACGAAGATCGCGATGGAGCGTTATACGACGTAGATACAACTTGGTTATTGGTACTTTGGGCGCAAAGGTTATCGCTTTCAATTTTCATTTGACGGGCAACTGCACGAGCATATATACATATACACAGGTTGTTGTTATCATCAAGGGACTAGCACTGTGACGATAAACGCGCCGATAAAAGAAATCCGCTAAAAATGACGTCCCGATGCGAGGGTCTTTTTACAACGTCCATTTCTCGATTGCCGCTGTAAAATCTCGTTTGCGCGTGCGTGTGTGTTTACGTATACACAATGTTGGCGTGCCCGCGTCGGCCACCACGTATAATTTTGCTCGTTCGTGCGCCATCTGATTAGGTGTTTTAGGTATAGGGTATGGTATAGTTGCCCCGTTGGACAAACAAACACGTCGCGGTGTATGTTTTTTGTGACCTCGTTTTTCAGGAATAACGTACTTACTTCCGCTTCGGCTGGGAAAACCGAAATGACACTGCTCCGCATTATTTTGATTTGTTTTTTTTTTTTGTTTCTCTTTTAAACCTGCGCAAGAGAGGGTATTTTTTCGTACGGGCGATAAGATCGCTCGTTAAAACTTTGATGCCCCGTGAGTCTTGGGCAGAGTGTATCATTAGCTCGTAAGTCACTGTTGGCTGTACGTCACACGTGTAACCTTAAACATACATCAACGCCCATTGTACCGTTATATATATATATTTGAGAGCCACAAAGGTGGGGGAGGGACGAAAATGGCGCATTTTTTTCTTGTTCCAGGTACCATTAGTACATTCTCATTCGTCGTGTGTGTATCCCCTTTAATGATATACATTTGGGAGGGAAAAATAAAAATAACAAAAAAAGAGGCCAAAAGTAATTTTGTCGAAGAGCTCGCGGGCTATGTACGTCGTCGTCTAGCTTTCGACGCCGAGCGCGAGAAAAATAATACGAAATCCAGCGTCGACTCTGAGCGCGCCCCTAGCGCACTGAGACAGGGCCATTGTTTGCGTTTTTTGGCAAAAAAAAAAAGGAGGGATACACTTAGCATTTTCCGGCGTATCAAAGGGCTATACATATACGAGTAGGGATGAGAGTAGAGGAGGGGTGGACTAAGATGAGAAAAGCTCTCCGGTGCGAGGGATGAAAAGAGACGCGTTGGGGGGGGGGTGTTGTATTTGGGGAGGAGGGAGGATGAGGACGCGTTCTAGATTTTTTCTATTCGCATTTTCGCAGAGCCCCGGCTAATGCGCTGTTTTGTCTTTTGTTGGATTGCAGGGTAAAAGCAGGCGAGGAAGCAGGCTGGCTGTGACGACGGGTCCGAGGAGGGAGGAGGAGGGGCTGGAGGGCTCGGGGCCTCCGCCCGGGCGCAACGGCCGGCAATGCTAGGCTCGCGTCCGCAGGAACAACGTCGAAGACGACGACGACAGCAGCAGTGATATATATACAAGGATCGGAGGTGGCGAGGATGAGCAACCGTCGTCACTGCTGAGGGCGCGTTGAGCCAGCTCCCTGATAGTCGTGGTCGTGGTATACACGCGGTTCTCGGGAGCCCTGCTGCTGACATTACCGTGACCGCGGGCTGGCCGTACTGCCTGAGCGCAGTCCCAGCAGTGGTATGGCGCAGGAGGAACGCAGACCGGCCCTCAAGGCCCTCCTGCTCTGCTGCTGCGTCACGCTGATGTTACTCGCGACTCTCGAGGGCAGCCAAGCGGAACAAGGTCAGTATACCAATCAACCATTACCAACACACACTTTATGACATTATACATATATTATTTCTATGTATCTATAATATATATATATATACACCCGAAATGTTGAGCTATAGTAAATCATCTTACGTGCCGCAACGAAATTTTCACCCCCGGCCCCAAACATAGACGACTCATATGCACATGGCGCAATTTTTTCCATCATAGTTTTACTTTTTTTTAAACGTGTATAATTAACATCTTTAGCATCTTTAGCACGGGATTCTCCCGTAACCAAAAAAATCGACTAGCGCCTATTGCCATGGCCCCCATCGTCTTTTTGGTATTAAAATAAAACGTACGTGATTATAGTTGATATATTAAATCGATCGCATGTAATAGCAGCGACTCCAATGGTATATGTATAGGAGCTACCAAACTCGCACCACGTGAACAAAAAATAAAGTATACGACAATGGCGATACCCCTCTTCCGTTTCGAAGAAGAAAAAAAAGGATATTTTATATCCACGCTGTGCATGGCTGCTTTGCGGATGTATATTAAAAAAAAAAAAAAAAAAAAAAATTTAATAATCGGTAATTAAGTGAATAGGGGAATCGGGCCCGCGGCGGGCGCTAAATTGCCGACTGACACGGGAGAAGCATCTCTCGCGCTCTCGTTTTCTCCCGCGTGTGTGATGTACATGTATAACAGCATGCGAGCTGAGAGCTCCTTGTGTATAATATATATGTGTGTAGTAGACGCTCTGTCGTCCCATTACGTCTACCATGTACACGAGCATAATATACTTTGGGCCTCCTTCGTTACATATATATATATACATGTATCGATTCTCGGGGCATCAAGGCCGACCTTCCCCCTGTTGCTGCTGATACCGCTTCCTTTGCCCTTTTCTTTCGTAATTTCATCGAAAAAGGACGAGCTGCGAAATGGAGAACCAGAGGAGAGAGTGTACACGTGTATATACGTACGTGGGCCCGTATATCATATTCATACATACGCCGTAATCTTATCGCCTGGGGGTCCTGGATGCGCTCATCTGTATATATTATATAGGACGGTAACGTGACTACACGTGTGTGCGGGGGGACGTCAGCTAGGGGGCCTCGATAATTTCACGTGTGTAACAAGTACGGCCAATCATCTTGCAAAGCAAGGATTATCTACCCCTTTTGAAAAAAAAAAAAAAAAAAAAAAGGAAGGAAGGAAAAATTGTTTGTGTATGGAGTGTATCCCGCGCGATTAGTGTGCCAAAACTTTCGAAGGTAATCAGCGCTTTGGCCGCGATCTCTGCGCTTTACGGCCTCCCCTTCCCTCCCCGAATGCAAAATCCTCTATCTAATCCAACGTATACAAGCTCGGCTCGCGAGAGAATTACTCCCTCTCTCGGCTGCATCCTCTGCGCAAACTTCCCCCGTCCGATGTGTTATTATTAACAGAAGCCGTGCAATTTTCTATTAAATTATAGAGTTTCTCATTTACCATTTTTGTTTCGGAGCCGGCAATTTCGAGCGAGGGCCCCCGTCCCGACTCTCACCGCTCGGCTGCAGTGTGTATATAATAATAGAATGAAACGGTAGAGAAAAAAATAAATAAAAGGCGTTCGACCTCGAACTTTACGTACGATGTACGTGTGTGCGTATTAAGGTGGTGCAGCTGGAAAGCGTTGCAAAAAGTTTGTTCGTTCGAGGGTACAGGTATACATATAACGTACCGGTTTTCACGTGCAATGTGCTCGCAACAATCAAGAAGCGGCTTGAATCAGCTCGGAAAAAAATGGTTAGTTCATTTTGCTGATGGTCGATTAGATGAAGAGATTTTTCTCGACTCGGCGAGCATATGACGGTAGAATGCATGGCCCGCGTCGTGCCAAAGTTGAGTTGAACTAGGTACGTCTCAGTAACGATTGTCCAAGGAGTTTATCCAATATCTACAAAGTTACCGCATCACTTTTGGGAATGAAAAAATTATCAATGGGGGGAGGGGGAGAGGTTCTTTTAATCCCGGTACAGTGTACACTGCGTCCGGAGGAGAGTAAGAGTCGAGAATCGCCACTTGCGAAGGGGCCGGAATAGACGTGGAGGAAAGTTTGGGAACAAGTTTGATACCGTTATGCATAATTGAATGCCGCGATTGCGGACGGGTCATTGATATTCGCGACTCGCGCGACGTGTAAAACGCGTTCCCCGTGTGTTATGGTTTCCCTCGACTCGGAGCCAAGATACGTATATAGGTACGGTCACTGCGGCGCTCTCAGCGGTCGATCGAACTTTAGTTTCAATTATTCCGATTTCGAGTACCATCCCTCCGCTTTTCGATTCTTCCCGCAGAGTAATGAGAAATCCGAGGGGGGATGGGGGAAAAAACAAAATTGTGTATACCTTGTAGAGGGTCGATTTGACTTTTTAATGGAGTTGAGTAAAAATAGAGCTTGCAAGTTGCCAATGATAATATATCTGTTCGTTTTGTACTGCACGGTCCAACTTTCCTTTTGAAGAAGAAGAAGAAGAAACTGTGGATGAACAAGTGCACTGTTAAGCATATACAAAATTACTGTAATCGGAACGTAAACGAAAATGTCCAAAGCGTCGGATAGGTGTTGTACGTGTACTCGGGTAGAAAAGCTTCCGACTCTCTTCCTCCTCCTGCAGCTGCGAGTGATAGTATAGACAGTAGGAAATCTCCCCTTTGGGGGAAAAGCGTAGCGAAAAAGTTGTTAAACAAAATCGACTCAGCCAAAACGTAATTCGATTAACCGTTGGACTCGGGAAACTTTTCCGTCAGTCGCGGTGGCGCGAGTAGGTAACTATATAGTGTGTATATACATATACCCATATCTCGCAGCTGTGCTGCTCCCTTTTTCTTTTCTGCAACGTTGATTTATATAATATATCTACCGAGCCCTTGCGCCTCTGACACGTATATTATATCTATATCACCTCGAAGATACGTATATATATATAATATACATGTAACGCACTAACGGAACTCCTCCTCGCGGGCCTGCATATATATGTATGATGCACACTCGCGGAGAGAAAGAGAGAGGATCCGAGATCCCCGGAGAGCGCGTATATATACGAGAAAGAGAGGAAGGAGTGCCTCCAGCGCGCCGGAGAGTAACTCGATTTCTCCGTCTTTCCCTCGTTATCGTGCGCCCTTCTCTCTCTTTCCCCTCTCCCTCGACTCCCGCTCGCGGATTCCTCAGCCCATATTGCATGTATACATACATAGTATTACACTAGCGTGTCTATACTAACTTGCACTGCGACCTGGTAATATGCACCTATATATTATATATCCTGCACGCACTCAATAAAAGGCACCTTTTTTTCGCGTCTCGTATATTAGCCGACCTCCCAGTTACGCATACATACCCATTGAAATTTACGTGCACAAGTTCAAAATCCAGCCTAAAATTTACACGAGGAGTTTTTGTTTCCACCCCGAGGTTCACCTACTTCTTCTACACTCAAATTCCATAGTTTGAAATAAGTTGAATTCACAGAGGCATGACGCGCGTCACATCGCCCCATATATTTATAACAGCTAGTATAAGTGTGGCCCGGAAAAAAATATATGGTTCGTAATCATTCCATCCTCTCTCTCTCTCTAGGAGTAAGTAGGTACATCCTAGTGTAAGCGCGTCCACGCGATGGAATTCCTTGATATTTATCATACGCGCTTTATATCGTACGTATATTACGTATACCTATAGGTATATACAAAAAAACACACACACACAGGTGACTATAATGTATGTATGATAATCTAGTAGCTCTTGTACACGCACAATCAGCCGAATGTATCATCAGATCTGCTTCTGTGCGGCTGGTGTATACCGTATAGGTATAGGTACAAGAATTCGGATAAAGAATTTACGAGGAGTAAAGTTTGTGTGCCTCTGTTCGGTGGCCCTTCCATACACCACCTACCTCGAGCTTCTCCGGTGCTCAAACAAACGCACAAACACGGCCATCGTATAAATATATACCTATACTATACTGTATGGATAAAGTTCACCGATTTCGAGGACGCGGATGGGTCAACTGGACGAAATAATAATATGGTGCCTCGATACACGTTTATGATATAATTTTTTTTTTTTTTTAACATTTCCTACAAATATCAAAAGTGTTGTGTACCATATGTATAGTGAGCAGTTGAAGGAGCATCAGCATCATTGCAGGATCAAGAGCAAGCATCACCGAGAAGGGGTGGGGTGGGGAAGGATAAAGACAGGGAGAAAAGTGGCAACGCCGCAGGAATGCCCACAGAGAGGCCCACCGCTGCCGACGCCGTTGCCGGTGCTCACCAGAGAGGCTGCATACCTGTGCTGCCCCTCTCTTTCTTCCTTCCTTTCTTTCTTTCGTGCTCTCCATATATATTATATACCCTACACAGTACATACCCTCTATATAATACTTACCTATACACCTACAGGATTAAACCTACTCTCTGTACGTATACGTCCTGCAGAGCTCGATCGGGGTCCCTCCGCTGCTCCTTGTACTATTTCTCTTCCTCTCTATGTACGTGTATACCCCACATGTGTATACATGTATGCGCGCGTATAGGCCCACGTGTATATGAAAGGGCCACCACTAGCTCTTGGCTGCTTCTTACAAGGACGCCACGGCGCTCCTGCAGCAATCGCGTTCTTCTTCCTCTTCGTTTGCTCTGCAGCTCTTGTTTGCTCGGCTCCTGACGTAAGTATAGTTACTCCGTTTCTGCAGCTATAGAGCTCTTTCTCTCGTCCTTTCGTCCTCTCTTTCTCTTTAACGTTTGTAATGGATGTTAGTATAATAAGGTATACCTACCCCATCTCAAGCGAGTGGCCGCATATGATACACGTATACGCTTGTTTGGGTGCGAGGGTGTGCATTTTCTGTCCATACGCCCACAATGCGCGAGAGACTGCTTTCGAAAAGGATAATCAAGAGAATCGGAGGAAAGACCCGGTGGTGGGCAAATATTTTCGCTCGTCGGTCGAATGTAGGCCGCCA